AAAGCACTATATGCTGGATAAATCAATAAAATTAACTGACTATGATTTCTCAACACATTCATGATTACTTATTTTTTCAAACAATATCAAAAAAATGAACAATTGGAAAAACCTTGTGTTCGAAATATCTGATCTTTTGATTTAAGCATCATTCGACCATAAACTTCATCTTGCAATTTCGTATCTAAAATATACAATTATTTTTCTTCAATAATTTGTCTCAATAAGAGATGGGGGAATATGAATGGAGTTTATAAAAGAGTTTTTCGAGATTTAGGTAGATTTAGACTTAAATTGATGAGGTGCAGATTGAAACATTATTTCAACAACCTGGCATTTGATTAATTTATGTGACATAACTTAACAGCACTTAATATTAAATTTAAACTTAAAAACTTGAAATGCACTCTTTTGTTTTCTGAAATCTATATTATTACCATTCATGGCTTTTTACTTTAACTGAATTTTTTTTTTTTTAAATCAACCAAAACTGTAGATACTTCAGAGCATCTGCTATCATAAATACATATATTTTCAAATAAAAAAAAAGAATTACTAGATGGAGTGAAATTTTCGAGAGAATCTGTCTCTTCATCAAATGGAACGAAATTTCCGGAAGAGTCTGTGGCCTTTTTCTCCGACGTATGGGGACCACTTAAGCGTTTCACTAAAAATAAACATGAATACCTGAAGTGACTGCATTATGATATATTAGTTTATGGAAATCATTCTTGTAGTCGATCAATGAATCATTTTTTTTATAATTTTGAGTGAAATATTATATAACAGAAAAACATGAAAAAAAATGAACCATCTATGGCTAGTTTGGTACCGCGTAAAGCTGAACGAGATGAATATCCTTCATTACGTTCAACCGTATTCGATATTCCGGTTTTATCTGAAACAGTAATTTTCTGCTACGAAATAATCAATTTGTAATTGAATAACGTGTTGCATAAAAAATAAATCTGCACATTTGATAAATAATGCGTAAAAATTGCATAGCCTTAAGATCTTTAAATTATCTCCAAAGTTTAAGGTGCAGATTTCATAAATCCTTGAACTAATTAAATTTCCGTCCATACATTCATGCATTCATTACATTATTCTTTTTTAATATTACTAGAAAAAGTTTGAAAAAAGTTTTTTATTCAGTATACTAACGATGCTTTCGTGAAATATGATCGGATGGCAAAGATCCACGCGGGATAACTTCACCCGGATTTGAGGGTCGTAACCCAAAGTATGGCGGTACTATTGGAGGAGGTGGAATTTTCACTCCCATTATTCCAAGCTGGCAACATAGTCGTCCTGTAAACATACAAAAGAGTTTGGCAAAATATTTTCTAATTCAGTCAAATACCTTGAAATAGCATCTTTTCAAAAATATACCCATTTATCGAATAAATAATGACGAAAATATGCATATTCTTCATTTAAATAACATAATTTTCAAAGTGTGATTATAAATGACATAATAAATATTGAAATATTACCATTCTTCTCTGAATCAATAGAGCAATAATAGCCAACAGGACAGAAGGATTCACCGTCATAGCCTAAGCCACATTTAAGTGGTTGTTGAGTAGACTCATCAAGCAGTGCATCTGAACCATCCGGACAAATGTTTGTTGGTACAACCAACGATGGCGAATTCTCTGCTAAAAATAACAAATAATTTTATTTTATTATATGTATCACAAATTGATCATTTTCCGAAAAATTTGAATGCATTAACTTATACAATAAGTATTATAGTAGAACAGGCTTTAACGCATACCTTCGTATCCTCCCTGAGCCTCTTCAGATGAAAAACTCGCAGTTCTGCTTGACTGCTGTGGCGAAAAACGAATATTTTTTTGATTTTTCTTTGTCACCAATATTTTCTCTAAACCTGCAAAAAGTACTTTATTTTGTAGTTAGGATATAACATTCATTCCAATTAGGCTTAATGCAACTTCTAATTTCTAATATGTAGTTGGAACAGGTCATTTTTCATTACAGTTAAACAGATTCCGAACATATATTACGGATAAAAAGCTTAACACAAAAATTACAGTAACATGCAAAAGATCAGTTCGGAAGTATGGTTACAGTTACACTGATCATAATATTGAAACAGGGCACGATAAATGTGCGATGCAAGATTTAATATCTCCAAAAGGTATGACCTACCTGGAAGGGATTTTTCGAGACAGCAAACATTAGGTGGTCCCATGCGACAGTAATATCCTTTCGGGCACTCAAAAGATCCTCTATTTTTACCGCATATTACGGGTGCATTATCACCAAGTGGCACTTCACCAAATGGACAGCTTCCTGGTGGTGCATCTTCAATGTATACCTTATCTAAATTGGAAACACTTTATGAAAAGCATTTTTAATTAAAAACAAAAGAGGAGGTATTTTTCTCTTTCCATACTTAGCTGTAACTATGTGTCATACGTAGAAATCAAGTAAGAAGAGGATAAAGTTATTAGAAATTATACATTAAGATATACTCTAATTCTCACTAAAAATTTGTCGCCTGATTATTTCACTCCACTTCTGTTCCAATGTTTATAGGAAAAGAAAAAGTTTATTTCATTTACATTTCCTATGTCAAACTCACCACTTTTGCATCGCTGTCGACATTCATCCTCCGTGACGAAATTATTATCATTACCATCACAGCCACTATAGTAGAACAATCGGCAGGTGTTCACTCTATGATCGTAGAAGAATCGAAGATGAGCTTCTGTACATTTACCCACATTGACATCTTGCATACAAATATTGTCAACTTGTTTAGCATCACTATTATTTACTACTAATGATGCTCTGGTCAATGAATGCTGTACATTGGCTGCAAATAATAAGACAAACAATTAAACCGGAAAAAAACACGATTTCAGTTATAAAATGATGAATTCTCATTCCATAGCTTTTAAAAGGCCAAATATTTCATACTAATATTTTATATTATAGTAAACTTATTTGGCTTAAAAACTTTTATAACTAAGAAGTACAATTCATCAAACACATTACTGAATAGTACTGCAAAACGTGATAAAGACCTCTTTCAATTCACTGACAATACAGATCGTTCTTTTTTTAACCAAATAATGAATATGAAAAATTGGATTTATGTAAATTTCAAAAAAAAGTTTATCAGTTGTATCAATGACATGAAGGATATGATTAATCAAACTACAATTGATTCAAGTATTTAAATGCCAAATATGAGTAACGTTTAATTGAACTACAATAGAACAGAATAAATTGACTGAGTTCTTAACTCTCGTTATTTCACTCCCTTCATCTTTAATTATCTACGAGGAAGGTAAACGAAATGTGATTAATCCTAGTGAAATGTGCTCAGAACTAACAATCGATCCGTGCAGCTGTATTTATTGTTGAAGGATGGCTAGAGACCACTTGCGCTCGACGTTTGAGCCTGAGCTTCCGAACAATCAATTCATTATCATTTATTGGTGTCTTTTTGACATTTTTATATCCACGCTTCACTTCTTCTCCACCATAACCTGCAAATACATTCTCTTTTTATTTATCACTGTCATCACTGAATATTTTGAATTCAATTAGTTGTATTATCACTGAATTCAAAATATTCAGTGAAAAAAATATCACATAGATTAAATATCTTTCATATAACTGCAATAATTTTTGATGAGAAAGAAGGAAAATTGAACCAAAAGTTAAGAAAAAATGTTAGATAAATTGAAACCTCCAAATACGTGTTCATCGTACGGATCTTCCGCATTCGGACAACAAAAGAAATCAACGCCATTGAAGTAACAGAGAGAATTACTGGAACATTGATTTCTACCTGGCAAACACATCATAGGTCTACCATCTTCATGCTGTATAGGCTTAAGGCCGTTAGGACAACTAGGCGTATGGCCTATATCTTCAAAAACATTTAAGTCAACAGTAGCATCATTGTCTTTGTTTGCAGTCGTAGACCCCAACACTTTCACAATGCCAACTTTTTTTTCTGTAATAAAAATTTTTAAATATAAACAATTCTACTGAGAAAGTTAACTTAAATGGAAAATGAGTGAGGTTTAACATATTGTAATAATATCCTGTTGAAAAAACTTATTCATGTAGTTTTCCTACTGAAGAAAAAAGAGATGGGACGTAATATACCGACCTGTGATTTCATCACTGCTCTGATTCACAGCATTAGCAAATGATGATGGTTTTGGAGATGATCTCGGCGCAGTCATTGTTTCATTTCTTGACGTGTCCAGGCTGCGAAAAACTTGTGCAGGTGTTACTGATATAGGTGATTGTGTTAGTATAGGAAGTTGCTTCGAACTAATCTGCTGTATTTCCTTATCACCAATCGAATCGTTATCTGATACTACACTGAAATCTGGAATTGTTTATCTTTATTGAATAAAAATGCATTAGAAACAATGGAATATATCGGATACCTGCGATGGTGACTTTCACCAGCGTTCTGAGAAATATCATGGATATTGTGCTGATCCTCTGATATTCTATCTGTTCCGGTAATCGATACTGCTTGTTGTTTTTGGTTTTTCTGATCTTGAGATGCAGCAAAATGTGGTTGAAGACGACCAATGGAACTGGTTTTCAAAGAATGCTCAATTTGTTTGGTAGTTGTGTCCATCTCAGGAGCTTTACCATCCAATGCTAAAAAAAGGAATATTTCATTGCGTGCTTATTTGATAGAAATAAAATGGTGCAACATATATCTTTTACAGAAATAAAATCGTGCAAATTTTGAAAAATTTAAAAATAGCACCATTTACTGGCTAGCGAAGCCCAATGAATCTGATACATTTTAGGAATGTCTCCTGAAAAGTATGCGCATGTATGCTTTTGCTGTTTGGAATATAGCTAATCACACGAATTAATTGAAAGTTAAAATAGATTTTATTAATTTAACAGATTATACTGACGTGTGCAGAAGGTCTGACATTCGCCAAACGTCTCAAATTGATTCGAATTGCCACCTTGGCCTTGGTACACCATCTGTTCACATCGTAAATTACGCACGTTGAAATACCATTTGACATTGTAGCCGTTGCTATAACCCTCATCTTTTTTGTAAGTGCATCGCTCCGGTAACTGTGACCTAATCGAATCACCTATAAAGTAAAACTGTTTCGACGATCAAATTCCATTATACATTCTCACTTGCGTAATTTCAAGAAGAGTGAAGAGATAAAATTCGATGGAAAAACAATGGCTTTATTGTGGTTGTAAAATTGCTGAAGTTGAAGTTGAAACATACTTCGCGAACATTTTCTCTCGCAAGCTTGTCTGTCATGAAAGTTATTGTTGTTACCACCGCATGAGCCATATGAGAATTGTTCACATTTCCCAGTTTGTGAATTGTAGAACCAACGCGGTACATAATCACGACAGGTGCCTGCATCTGGCGGTAACACGCATGTGTCATCTTCCTCAGGTTGCAACTTTTGCAGTGAGGTAACACCATACAACTGCCGTGAGGCATGAGTTGTTGTTTCCGGTGTTACTTGCAAATCGGAAATATTTTGTTGATTCAATGTTTTCGATTCCATCTTCTCTTCCTGATGCTCATCCACGGTAGTCTGATCCCTTTGTAGCTCTTCAATTTCACCTGCAAATTGAACCCCATTAAAGAAGCTTTTGTCCAATTTACTCTTCACTTTACCTGCACTTCCTCTTACCTAGGTTAAAAGGTAATAGTCAAAAAAAACCTTGTTTAACAGTTGTCCGTAAGGAGATATTGTGGGCCACCTGTGTATTATGAGAAGCTATGAATTGCTGCTCTGTAATTTCATTGAGATTTTCCGTAGGTGATTGCTGCAATTCTTGGTGCTTTGTGAGGTGCAAACTGTGACCTTCTACAATATCTACCCTATGGTCTTGATTCGGCAATACATCAGCCTCAGAATTTGATATTACAGAAGCAGGAACTTCTGTAGCTGTCCTTTGGATGATTGCAAACTGATTTAAGATATCATTCTCTGGCTTTATTGACGTGTCATCGAAATCACGTATTGATAATAAATCCATTGTTCCGATTCTTCCTTCACTTCTTTCCTTTTCTATTTCTTTTGTACCATGTAAAATAAATTCTGGCTCTTTTGTCATAATGTCAGTATTATTCTTTCTAATCCGATCAGGTGATAAAACTGTAAGAGTGTGGTTTTGGAAATTGGGAGCATTCATGAAGATCGATGAATCAGCGTTGAAGTAATTTTCTTCAGATTCTTTAATGGATTTTCCCGACTGTCCTACTGACTTCTTTGCTTGAAGCTCAACGTTGCTAACAGAAGTGTCCATCACATCCGGTAATAATTTTTGGATAGAAGTAAACCGTATCGTTGGATTATCTGTTGGCATTGGTGGTACTCTCGATGTATTCATCACGGTTGTTGTTGGATTATTATTCTTATTAATAGCTGTGCTAAATGTTGCTAAAGCAAATGTACCTACGGGTTCAAAGGAGCCGAATGATAACTTCTTTTCTGATAATTCTTGTTGTCGCGAATATTGCTTCGGAAGAACCTGCGAGTTTATGATTGAGTGTAAACCATCATAAAGCCATGATTTGCCGGATGGAATGGGTTGACTGAGAAATTCCAATGATGATGGAATAGATGACTCAAATGACCGTTCAACGATTGTTGATTCCGATTCTGCTATCATCTCAGAAGTTGATGTGATATTGTTATTTGCAGGAGTGGTCGTAACGGAGGAAAGAGTGGTGTGATTGATGGATGTCATCGAAGAGACTGAAGTTGGCGCAACATGAGGAGTACTATTTAAGGTGGTCGAGATAGAAGTCAACAATGGAACAGCATTCTCCATTAGTGTCTGTTCAAGCTCAGCAGATGATATAGTTGTGGAAGGAGTGATAGTTGTCACTAAAGATTCATGGGATAGAGAACCCTGTGATGTAATGTCAATTTTGTCAATGATTTTGTATCCATCAGAATCCAGATCCCAATCTTTAGGAAGTATTACTGGTAAAATATCAGATCTTTCTTGAGTGACGGTAACATCAGCGATAGTGTTAAAGTTATTTAGAGTTGCTGGTTCTGTCACTTCCTTTTCGTTTGATGCAATAACTTTCCGACCCTTATTCTCACGTGTATTAATGTGCATTGCAACAGAATCATGCGAAAATTCTTCGGTATTTGATGGGACAATCTGCCCATCAGTTGCATGCTTGAGATTTGTGCCCTGTGCTCCTGAAATGATAATGTGCTTTGTGCATGCATTGATATGGCTGTGATAAAAAGATCTTCATGCACTTTCTTAAAATCTTTTCATTCCAAAGATAAATGTCTCTGTTTATAATTTCAGGAACAGTTAACAGAAATGCATTAATTTTAATTTAATAATTTTGAAGGTAACTTCCTTAATACATGCAAGAATCTTAACTATCTGTCAAGAAAATTAGGATTGCTTGAGAAGAAGGAAAAGATTCCGAAAAAAAACCACTCAAATAATGTTTGGTTAAGATATTTGTCAAGTTTGAACAAAAGTATCCTTGGCTGTTCAATTTTCCATTACACATTCTTTACTCCTATCTTTGCCTCCAAAGATTAATTAGAAATGATCAAAAGCAAGCTCAATCTCTGAACATTAAGGTGAAATAATGGTTAAAAGAGCATCTCCAAATAAAAAAAAAATATTGATTATTTAGCAATATGCAGGCATGCGCTATTAATTATTTTAACAAAGGCTAGCTTAGATTCTTTCAATTCAAACGAGAAACTTTTTCTTCAAGTCGATCATCCCTTTCATTGTGTTCTTCACTAATCTAAAGTTTCACTTTCGGCTTTAGCTCAACATGTCATTATTCTGAATAATGAGGTTTGAATTTTATCAATAAAGGTGGATTACTACCATGCGATCAGCTTACCGTTAAAACTTTCATTCTTATTCGATACATTACTGTGGGATATTTCTGGAAAGATATTATGACGAATTTCAGTGTCCGAAAGAATTAACGGTGATGATAACGATGATGACGATAACGAAATTGATGATGGTAATGCTGAGGGTGATGTAGTTGATGATGATGGTGATAAAATTGTTGATGATAAAGTTGGCAGCAATGAAACTGACAGCGATGGTGGTGAATTTGATAACAATGATGGCGATAATGAGGAAAACGTTTGCAATGCAGAACCATGATTGATTATACGCACGTGATGTCGTAATACGTAATCACGATCACGTTGTATTGGTTTAGAGTGTGTAGCGACTGCGACTGCACCATCATATTCTTTATGAGATAATTGAGTATTTATAAATTGAGAATTAGCATTCTCTCGGACAGAATTGTCGGTGACCTTCTTGGCAAGTTGATTCTGTTCCTTCAAAGGCTCATTTATGCTATTCAGCTGCATATGAATTTGGTTATTAGCTTCAGATCTTGGAGAAAACGAATTCATCGATGTCGCTATTTTATCTAAAATCAATCTTTCACCATTTTGATCAATAGGAATTTTGTAGTCATCATTCACTGAGTTATCGAATCCGCTATTTACAATCAGTGCTTCATTAATTCTCGTACTTTCTATCTCTTTCTTGAGCTCATTATCGTGATCATTCGTTATCGTCCGAGCAATTTGCGATTCTGATATTTTCGCTTGAGGCAAACTTGTTATTTGCTCATTGGTTGATGTTTTCGAATTCTGTACTGTAGTAAAATCCGTAAATGTCTGCTTTGCAATCCGACTGTCGAATAGGTTTGAAGTTGTTGAAGTGATATCTTCAATGTTCTTAGATTGCGTGTCATGCTGTAATATCTGTTGTTCAGATGATGTCTCCTGCGACAATCCATTCTGTTGCTGAATTTGCGAGGTATCAATTTTTTGAACTGTTGTCTGAGATTGTCTCTCTTGAAGAGTTAAATTTCCTCTATCCCACTCAGAGAAGTTCATTGGTGTTGAAATGTTTTCACGGGTGGATTCTGTTTGAGTGTTTTCTTGGACTGATATGATCTCCGACTTTGATGCATTACTGGTTATCCGTGAAACATTACTTTGAGTTGATTTGTCATTGATTTGATGACGGTGTGCGTCTTGCTGTTTAGTGGTTTCCATCGATACCTGTTTTTTGTAATCGGTGATAGTTTGTTGCTGAATGTTGCTACCTGATATCAAAGTATCTACTTTATCTCGTGAAGGAATGGACCAAGGTTGCTGCTCTCTTACAGAACCTTTTGAAAAGTTTTGAAATGTCGTAGCATTCAGTTGTCCATCCTGCATTGCTTTATTGTTGCCATGTTGTAAGGAACGCAAAGCATTTAATTCTGTATTGCTTTTCAATGACTGAGAAGTCGCGCTCATCAATTTCGCCCCGGCATGTCTTCTATTTTCCGGATCAAACTGAGTTACATGCCTCCAGGAATTTGCTTTCGCTACATTCTGAGAAATGTTAATACTAGGTGACGGTACATCATTTGAGGAAGAACGATGTACAGTGCTTTCTTGATTATCAATCATATCTTCCTCTTCAGACTCATTTAATATTTCGGCTGATTGCGACCACATGATAGTGTTATGTTGTGCATGTAAGGCATTTTGATGTGCTGCTATTCTTCTACGGCCTGTGCGTCCATCTAAACAGATGCTAATACTTATTTTTGATTTTTGCGTTCCGTCAAAGATGTTTCATTTGTATTTGCATAACCTGCATGGAAAGAGTTCCATTTTCACTCAATAAGAAAATGATATAGTGCAAATGATCCCAGTGATAAGCGTATTCTAGTTTAGTTGGTGGAAGCGAGAAAGATCACAGAACTAGGCCGCCTTCAGGTGATATCTTAGCAATGAAGCGAACCTTCTCTAATGATAACCCTTTCATTCGTGCTTGCTGTATATTTGGTGCAATGACCAAAGAATGTGCAATTGGGTGCTTACTAGAAATGACTTGCCGTGCATCACTGAAGAAGTTTGCTGATACACTAAAAGGACTTACTGAAAAATCGAGCGCAATGTATTTCACATTCATGTTTTGAGAAGAAATGATTCCGATTGCCAGCACAACCGCCATATTGAAATGATTGGCACAAACCACTGTCCATGTCGAAGAACCAACGTTCGATGAAGTTTTTGCACGGTCCTACGTCCTACAATTCTCTCTAATAAATACCATCACAATAAAACATACATAGTTAGTAGAGGAAATCATGGGTAACTTACATTCTATCATTAGCCTTATTCTTCCTAGAGATGAAGTTTCATCGGATGTTCAAGTCTATTTTAGCTTCAGAATTCAAAAATTATTTAATACAAAAATTATTTAATAATAACGTACCATTGGCTGTGAGCATTTTTCACCCAATTCAGTTGCCGCATTTATTTGAGAGATCTTTTTTGGATGAGGTGTCGATTCATGTTTTTTTTCCACTTTGTTTTCTAAAATGTCAGCAAGTTTTCGTTGAAACAATTTCAGTTAGACAATACAATTAATTATTTTAATTTTTAACGATTATTGCTGCATTTGTTTTTTTCTTTGAAGTTGTGTGACGAAAAACTCATATTGAACGAAAAATATAAGAGAAACTTACTCATAAATTGTTCAGTCTCGAGAGCTTTAGGTTCATCTGTGGATGAAGTATCGGATACTGTTGGAGAAAAGGTTGATGACTCAACTAGACCATTTTCAGTGGCAGAGTGTGCCACCGGACATGTACACTCATGACAGCCGCGGCGGTTCGAGAATAAAATACACGGCTCCACGCACAACGATATGTCCACCACGGGACATTGAACTGATACGTCCGGTTGCGCTGTAATGGACGACATATATTGTTGAAAAAAAAAAAACGATTGATGAAGCATTTTAGTTCTGATGGTTGAATGATTCAATATCATAAGCCTGAAGTGATCTGTGAAGTGATCTAACCTCGAACACACGCTTTCTTGCATTGATCCATAGACCCGAAATTATTGCCATTCCCACCGCAACCACCGTATGTGAATGGTCGGCACTCATTAGTTACCAGATCGTATGCAAATCGCGAGAAAACACCCGAACATTCGCCCACTTCGATTGGATGTTCGCAGATATTCGTTGAAAGGGTCGGTCCTGAATGAATGCTTACTTATTGTGTACCAATGTAACTGTTAGCAGAGAGAATAAATAAATCGCAACTTGTTAAAACAGATGGACCGTATCAAATAATAAGCAAGTATTCATTTGTTTTCTAGCGTGTTTGCATTAGCATGACAAAATTCTCGGCTTTATATTGATATGTCCCGGTGTCTTGCAACTAATTTCTTGCTATGAAAAGTAAAATTAAAAGATTCATAAAACAAACTATGTGTAACGCATTTATTGCGACATTCTAAGGAACTTCCGAAATTGTTCCCATTACCACCGCAGCCAGTATATGTAAATGGACGACAGTCGCCGATAGTAGAATCGAAAGCAAATCTTTGGAAGACACCGGTACAATCACCGGGATGGATACTGTGTTCGCAAACATTGTTCATCCTGGGCACTGGCTGTGCTGCAAATAATGAAAATTTTTGTAAGGATAAATATATGACGAAGTGAACCGCGTTAGCTACTGAATGAAAAAGAATTAAAAATTACGCGGTTTATGACACGCAGCAAAACAATCTTCTCGACTGCGGAAGTTATTTCCGTTTCCGTCACATCCGGAATAAGTGAATACTTGACAAGTGTTTCGTTCTGGATCCCAATGCCATCGAATAAATTGTCCAGTGCAAGTGCCTCGGTCACGTTTTTGGAAACATCGGTCATTGATACCTTTGAACAAGTATTATAGTATTCTCTTCTTTGATGCAGCTGAAAAAATCATTCTCGAAAATAATGACTTTCATAAATCCCTGAATATGGCCTAAAAATACCACTTTCAGCTTGTTGCGGCACTAATAATTCCGTTGCGGAAGATGTGATCGATCGCGAAGTTATGGTACTACTGGGAGATAAAGCAGTTGGAGAAGTGGATGATGGTGGAATAGATGATGATTTCGATTTGTTGGATAATCTTTCTTCTCCACCACTTATTATGTTAGGACGACGTGTCGTCGTCATTCTTGATGTCGATGAGGACATTCTGATTCGTTCTTCCCTGTAAAAGATAATCTGTTAACTTTATAAATGTGGACAGATTAAAAAGAGCGAGTATCAAAGCTATTAATTGTAAATCCTTAATTGGATTCAGGAAAAAAAAGTCAGCAAGTAAAGTATACCCGGTAGACAATTGCTGACCAGTAATTGTGACTGATTCACTTGAGAATTTCGATATATTCCTGTTGGATTCATTACCGGAAGCAGTGAAGTTCTCTGAGTTGCCAAATGTTACAGTTGTATTCTGAGGTTCGACAATTGTGAAATCTGTTGTTGTACCAGTAATACTGCTATCCAGTGATGTCTTTGTTCCCTTTTGCCTGATCTCCTTGTGGAGATATAGCTTACTTTGATTAATGCTAGCAACAGATAAATCTTTACTTGAGGTTGAACGATCATGAGACATACTTGTAGATGAACTGGCATTTGTTTCTTTGATTTTCAAAGTTGCTTCATTAGTAGTAGCACCAACATCAGCATTTTCCGTGATATCCGAAATACTACTTGCACTATACTTAACTGAAGTAGCGTCATCGGTCAATTCTATCAGTTCGCTCTCTTGACTAGTTTTTTTGATATTTTTTGTTCCAAATTCTTTGTTAAGCTTTCTCATCTGCGGACCTGACGTAATGAGCTGAGGTGCTGATACTACTGATGTTACAGCTACTTTTGCTCCACCTGAAAACTGTTCGCAATTCATAATATTTAGCAATGCTTGCAAATTATCATTCAAGAACAGAAGAAACTTAATTTCACTCTTTCAATATTTTTATTTTACAATTTAAATGATTTTTATATTAAAATAATCAAGCAAGTCTGTTAAAAAAGTAAAAAAAAAGATAACGGTGATAATATGTGGAAGACATTGATTGCGATACTGATAATGACAGTCTCAAAATGAATCGGAAAAAAGCGAACTAACGTTGTCGACAAATACGTTCGCATTCTTCTACCCGTTCAAAATTGTTTGCATTGCCTTCACATCCGCCGAAGAAAAAATATTTGCATTCGCCAAGACGACTGTTGTAATAAAATCTGAGCTCATACTGATCACAAGGACCTCGTTCCTTCGGGAGTTGACAGATATCTGATGCAATATCTAAATTTTTACTAGCTGTTTCTGAACCATTTAAAAGCAATATTTGACATATAAATAAAATAAGATATCCTTTCTTAATATAAAAATTAAATAATATCTTCATCTGTTTTTCTGTATTAAGGTTCCTTGGTATAATATCAATAAATATCACTTTAATTTAAGGTTTACGGACGTCATCTTTTTGGTTTTCCCTATTCTATTTAGAACAAAACTTACTGCTGGAAGCATTGATGGGGCAACAAGCTGACCCTAACTGTGCAATGGAGCATAAATAGCCATTAGGACATGCAGTGTCTTTACAGTTGACCAATTGACCATTGCCATTCTTTAATGGTTCCAAGCCATCTTTGCATTTTACTTCATTGTTTGCTACTTGGCATTGTTTCTCGCACTCTACTCTGGTTGGATAATTGTTACCGTTACCACCGCAACCTAATCAATTAATTATATTTTGATGCCAATATTGCATGAAAATTTAAAATATAAATTTGAATAGTTTCGTTTGAAGCGTTATATTCGTTAGCCTTCAAAAATTAACCTCATTCACTTTCTTGCTTCATAGCTATCTTTTATTTAGGATGAGCGAGTTATTATTAAATGTTATGGTTGATAATCCTTTCTTGACTTCCATATGAGAAAAAACCAAACGTCCGGCATAGCGCCCGTAAAAAGCCTTGTAATTACAGTTGTTAAAATATTTCATTTGATTTATTGATTAGGTATCCAAATATTTGTTGCTGATCTTGATCCAATAGTTGTAATTTGCAATGTTGAATTAAAAAAGAAAAACAAATCACTTACCTGAATATTCAAATTGGATACATTGTTTTTCCCTATCGTCATAATACCACCTTGGGATCGCCGCACTACATGGTCCAGAATCCATCGGTGACACGCATTCATACGTTAATGGCTTCTGTGCTTCTATAATCCCTATAAATAGCACCGGTTTAAGTTTCAATTTGATCAATGCAAAAATTAGATAAAACGTTGATTTTAATAAAAAGAGAAAAGTGACAGATAAACGAAGAATTGGACGACTAGAAATGAATGATTTGCAGGATAGATGAAAGACAAACGTTTGCAGTTCGGTTTCATTGTACCATTGGAATCTGAGTTCGGTATTTTAATACCGTTATGATCCACGCAGAAACAATTCCCCCCTTGTGTTTCGCATTGCAGCGGTCGAAAAGAACCATCGGCAGTGCAAATCGGAATGAAATCAGTTTTGATAAGGCCTGATTCACTTGCTTGTTTGCGTCTTTCGCATTCTTAAATTGTAGAATATATTGCTTCTTAATTGACTTTTAAGGTCTCGAAAAAATAGATTTATTCGATATTTATGAATGAAATAAATATTGCCACCATTTATTTTAGAACTAGCTTAGTATTAAATTACATACCAGTAAGTAATTTGTGAGACGTATTCTTTTGGACAGTAAATGCAGCTCGTTGTGATGAAATTGTAGAAGTATTCTCGGAAAATGGTTTCGCAGTAGTACTGACTTGTTCGCCAGTATCAGAACCAGTATCAGCATCAGTACTAGTAGTACCAGTATCAGTATCACTTTCAGTAATTTTATTGCCTAAAGAACTTGCTGATTTTTCTGTTATATTATCATTTTCAGTTGCTGTGTCATCACTGTTCGAATTGCTGAGACAGGCCTTTTCACATTCCTCTTTGTATCTGTACAGCATTGGTTCATTTTCATCATTCGCGCAATGGCCTGCAATTTAAACCTACGCATATCATTGGGCCTCTTATCTTCATTTTCAAAAATTTCAAGCAAAACTTTTTTCACTTCTACTATCCTTGTTGGAAACCTAAAAATACTTTAGTGATTTCATTTTTGATAAGAGATGTCTGTTCTAAGTATATGATATGACTTATGTATCACTAAATGATAAAAGATTATCTATGTAATTTACTTGAGCAAATAACTTACTCGACCTTTTACTTGTAGAGAACAGTCAAAAACTAATAACGACATATTATTACCGAAAGGATAAGAGACGCATTTATTATCCCTGAGATAGTAGCGTAAGACGAATTGCGAACGCATCTGACCTTTGCCTTTGACGGAAGGGCATCTACCTCGAAAAGGCTGCCGTTTGCAAAGATTTACATCATCTAAATTGATAAAACAATAATAAGTTTTGCCATAGGTTTTTATTTCTAACTGATAATTGTACAATCCCTTTTATCAAGTAAAACCAAACTATAATTATTAGCTATGCAGGACTGAATATTGATGGCTGTATCAAGTAAATAACGAAATCATTAGATACATATCCGTTATATTATTTTGAAAATGTTAGTTCTCCATACTACAACCAAAACTTACTCTCCAACTTCTTCAAGACGATTAAAGTTCTCCTTTCTTGTTTACCAATCATACATAAATAATACAACCAAAATTTACTCATCTTTTCATCAAAATTGCTGTATATGATCTTTACATTCATTAAATAAGATTTAGATCAAACTGACTTAAAATTACCTGTCTTACTTGCCAGAATAATGGTACAAGATAGAACGACGAGAGCCAATTGGGCCAACGAAGTCTTCATATGCCCGACCTATCGATCTCTAAAATTTTCATATTAAGAGATCCATTAAGTTCATACATCGGCGTTTGAACGCAAATTTAAATTTGTTTAGTTTGGATCTCTGTCATATCAGATTGTTAATATATTTGTCAAAGTTGACTAATATTTATCAGTTTTTCTGCCTATCGGTGATGTAAATGACCACAATTTATTAAGACCTTGATGTTCAGCTCTCAAAATCATCTGCATGGAAAGAATGCTAACAAAAACTGTTATTAGCATGTTATAAAGCGGAATTAGCATTGCATTAGCACTATATAAGTCTTATGGTAACCAATCCTATGCTGTAAACAACTTCAAACAATTTGAAAATACTATCAGATATTATATTTGAAGCTATTTCTACTCAGTCTCGAACGATCAAAAGTTAATATTGAAAGTTTTTTGAGATAGTGACATTTATATCCTAATTCTTAATTTTTATTAATATTTCTATTCCTATTTCAGTTCGCACATTTTCAGTCGATATCCATCAGCAATGAAGGAGAAGAAATGTTTATGATTTTTGTATACATATGTGGGCGGTATGTTTATATACATAATGTCATCAAATGTAGGTCATTAATGGGTACATAAGTAAATTCCTTGGGAAAAAGGATATATTCGAATTTTATAAAAATACAATAATAACTCCTTAATTTGTGCAAATAGAGGAAACAGAATTATTTTATAAATCTATCGTACCAAAGATTAGGAATATGTTCAAGTTAACAGCAATAGATTTAAGATGCTATCACACAAATGAAGTATTACGCTGAATTAAGTTAATTAAGGTGGATAAAAAATCACTTTTATTGACTTTTGATTATTACTAGATGCTGATCTGTTTCTGAAAATTTATAATTATTCTTGTCTAATAGTTAAACGGAATTTCTAACATAACAAAATAAGACAAAGATAGTTATAAGTCTGATGCTTATATTGAAGTCTTGAAGATGACTTATGAAATGGAATAATCAAAGTAATCAGAACAACTTTTTGAATCTTATAACGACATGTTCAAGAGATAAGCAAAGATTTAGCAACAAATACATTTAAAAAAGTTCAAAACCGCTCAGAAATGTATTTATTATTAACAAAGACAAACGTCTTGCTAATTATAGTTAGGTCATAAAATGTTATCGAAGTTTATTCAACGTTGCAAAATTCACAAAGCTGCTGCATAGCTAAAAACCAGAAGTGGCTATAGAAAACTTAACTAACTAATTTTGAAATTTCTCTTCAAAATCAAATCTTCCATTAGAAAGATTTAATAATTCCAAAATTTAAGTTAACATAATTGAAGAAATCAGACAAATGATCTATTACTGCGTGTTTTACCCAGCGAGTTACAGAAATAATACGACGATTAAAATTTTGAGCGTTTCTTAAGATTTCTAAAAGTTTTGAAATTAATATTTATTGTATTGTTGAGAAGATAACGGTGCTGGATAAAATGACAAATGAGAGAATGTGATGGGATTTATGCTTTGAATTATATCCAATGATATCTTGTAATTCCATTATATTTGAATAATTAAAATGAAAAAGATAGGTCGACATCAAGTAAGACCGGTTATAAGCCTCTCTGAGAGGAATGTGAAAAGATTTCAGGGAATCATTGTGAATAATATTAATGCAAGAGTAAGTATACTATGAACTGAACCAATTACTGAGATAAAGGACTGTTCGAATGAATTTTCCGCCCTGCCCTGTGTTGTGTTCTTTTTTGCTCTCTTGCAGTCCAGAACTTACAAATGCCTCATATCTATTTTGGTTAATTATGAAGAAATTAGAACGTTTTAATCAATGAATGCATATCAATTTTATGAACCGATCGCTCTCGATAAGAATTCATGAATCATTGTGATACAAAGCAATTTAAAAATGATGAAACCTAGTCTAACAACTCTCGAAGAGGTCATTGACGAGGGGTGTTGATGGCCATCTAAGGAATGGGTACACTACCCATACTGGAATCTGTGTTACGACATGCGTAACTGTGACCCTGACCTACTATCACTAATCATTTCAGCAATTTGACAAATAATCAGGGAGAATGGAATTTAATGGGATGGAGAAATGAGAAAGGAAGAAGAAAACATCACGGATATCTGTTTATCACAACTTATTGCTGATCAATGAATGCTGCAAGATTCAAAATTCATCATTTTTTTTTTAAGATGCATACTACAAAATCATATATGGACACGTTTAAAACATTTGAAGCAAACGTCTCCTCACTTTACGCTTTTTACAATCCTATTAGTGAGCAGGAAGTACTTCTTTTGACTTCATTTATGTAAATGAAACAAAAATTGCACGGCCTGCATTTGATCCACTCGTATTACTGCCACATCTATTTTTAAATAAGAATAAGTTTAAAAATTGTGACCGTTCAAGAAGACATTTCTATAATGACGTGCATAATTGATAATATGATAATCGAATTTTGTGAAAAGAACAAAAGTTGACAAGAAGGGATAGAGAATTGATACTTGGCAAAAAAATCTTGAAAATGCTTGGAAGTGTTATTCCTTGCAATTTTTATTGCTGCTGTTTTATTGGATAAAAAAGAAAACAAATGAATTTGATAATTTAAAAGTAAGAAAAATTATTTATGAATATTAGACATCAGGACAGTCAACAAAGATGGTTAAAACGGAGTGAAAATTATAAAGATTTGCCATATACTTTGACATTTTCGTAATGCCCATTTTTCAGGAAGATAGATTAGATGAGTTAGAGAAATAAATAAAGGAAGAATTTTAAATGAAATTGAAATGAACAAAAAGATATGAACTGTGAGCTGATT